CTGCAAGTTATAAACTGGCCTGTATAAAGAAAGTCTGATAAAGAAAAACTTTTTTTGCAGTTCTGCACAAGCCCTGCAGCATGGTGCACTAGTTAAATAATACTTAAATTCTGCACATTATTTCTACTAGAAAAACAAAACAAACATATCTCCATGGTAAAACATTTTTGGATGCTGCATCATGTATGTACACTGTATGTGTTTTTGAGCAGGGATAAGGATGCTGGTTGCTAAAAAAGATGGATGGAACAAATGGCGATCTGTAAGCAGACGGGTGAGCAGATAGAAAACATTCAGACTGACGTGGCAGAGATCCGCCAAGCAGGAAAATTATCCTTAAAAAAATCCAAAATGGACTGGGCTGAGCTTCTTTTCTAAAGGATGAGCAAAAATGTCAGCTTCAACTAGTGAAAAACCTGAAGAGAAATCATTAAATAACCTACAGTTGTGAATAAAGAAAAATGTGGATCTACAAAGTATTTATTGAGCAGGGGTTCATACAGACTGCTTTGCGTTTCTATCAGGTTAAATCATAACAACTTTGTTGGTTTGATGATTAAAACGAGATCAAGGAGAAGAAATTATTTTGCAAGACACTGCGTATTTACATTTAGTGTCACGGTTTTTCCCCTTAGAGCCTAATCAGAGCTAGAATAAGTAAAACCTCAAATCTGCATCCAAATAAAAACACACACAACCCCATGTGATAAATGCAGTTTATTTTGGTAAATAAATACAAAACAGAGACATGAAAATAACATTATCTCACCAGAAGGGGTGTACTCATATCTTTTCTTTAAAAAAAAAGAGAAAGAAGGAAAAAAAAAAAACAAATAAATAAAAGAGACTTACTATACAGTAGGTAATCTCAGAGCTATAATGAGCACCTTCTTCTATAACCGGCATTGTTAGGACGCCTTGGCAGGGGTCCTTCGAAGGGCTGCAGTTACAACAAGCGTAAGTGTGTAATTATAGCAGCTACTTTTGACAGTTTAACTTAAGAAAAACAGGCTGCCAAATTAACAGTTGTGCTGCCTTACAGTGTGCTCATTATAAATACCCACACACAAACACACAATCTCAATAAATCCAAACACGCACTCAGCAAGCGCACACACACCCATAAGAGACCCATAAGAGACCCATTGGGATGTCTTCTGTATATAACATACTTTGTTCTAACTGTTTGAACCTGCAGTTTTCGTCTGAGCTGAGCCAGCTGTGAGCCAAACACACCGACTCTAGGCTAGTTGGATTTTAAACTCATCTCCACTGAGCTACATTCCTGCTTCACGTCCGTCAGCCACTCTGCCAGAAAAAAAAGGTAGTTTTACATTATTGGAACCATACAAACTGAATAGTAACAGCATATAGTATGTTTTGAGGAAAAAACTAAGAACTGTACAACTCTCTATTGAACTCAGAGGTCTCACTGAGGTATAAACAGTCAATGGGTGGAAACCATGTTGAACAGAAGCACTGAGAACCTTCAAAAAGACCAGCAGATTCATTGAAATAAGGCCTGGATCCAGGAATCAAGGTATTAAAATGATTGAAAGAGGCTGTTTTAAAATTGTCAACAATCTGTGGTGTGACTTAAAGGAATTTTGATGAGATGCCAAATAAGGTGCTGCAGACACTAGGGGTGGAACGGTTCACAAAATCCACAATTCGGTTCAATTCACGGGTTCGTAGTCACGGTTTTCGGTTTGGTTCGGTATATGTTGATCCCATAAAAATTAATGAAATTAATGAAAAAAAAAAAAAAAATTAATGGATTGTAATTATTTTTAATGATTTGCGGAAACCATGGATCATTTCCGCATGTTTTGCTGCTTTGAATTTAATCATCTCGCACATGCCCTCTACGATCTCCAAGGAACTCAGAGCGGAGCGGAAGGGAGCCACAGTGGGGGCTGTAGGCTTTGCTTTGAGCAGGTGGTCTGAAGCGCAGTGGGGCGGAGCGGGGGTTGCTGACGGAGTATGAGGGATTACGGGGTTAGCATGACATGTTGGTCATGTTGCTGTTAGCATAAACAAAACGTGTTGCACAATGCTCGCACACTGTTGCACTTTTATCCACAACTTTCTTTCCGCCGTCATCGTAGGTCACTCTAAATGCAAAGCGCTCCCATACAGCAGACCTATAAAGTCCTGCTGGCGCGTCTTCCAACTCCTGTTCTTTCCCACTCGTCATACCCACACAATTCTCCAGAACAACTGATTTTTTTCTGCTACACCCGGCTACGCTGCTTCGCTTCTTCTTCTTCTTGTTTACTACTGGTGGTTGGCTTTGGTCGCAGTACCGCCACCTTCTGCTCTGGAGTGTAAACGCTTCGCCTATGAGAAAAAGGAGCAGAGCATGAACCGAACGCAAAACACACGAACTGAACCGAGACAGTCGAACCGAACGGTTCGGATGTTTTTCATAAACCGTTCCATCCCTAGCAGAAACCGAAGCAATGCTTCAGCCTTACCCACCTATTGCTGCTCACTGCCAGTCAGCTGGCTGAAAGACGGATACTAATGAATTTTTTTTGTTAACTGGAAAATAGGATATTTGGGTGCTTGGATTTATAACAGGTAGAGCACAAACAGCTAATGCATTTTTTGTGTCCCAGTTGTTACTCAATGAGAGACAAGACTCTCATGGAGACTGGACAGTGACCCCTACTGGAGATTAGAATACTTACGTCAAACAGGCCTTAGGGTTGACCAGGAGTCACGAATTAGGCTAAAACATGTTTCAGCCAATGTTCTTATCAAGGTAACAGAGCGTAACCTGTGAGCAGCATGTCTGTCTCACGGTGCAATACCTGTGTCGGCAACCCCACCAATAGAATCCTGATATCCGCTCATTGTTACTACTTTTACTCAAGAGCATGACAGAAAAAGGCATAATGACCTATGGAATATAAAAATATAAGTACTAAATTTTGTAATTGAATTTTGTGTATTTTATTTTTTTATTTTTGCCTTTTTCATTTTAGACAATGATCTTGAATCATGTGATCTTGAATCCAACTCAAACCTCATCCGTTCTTAATGTGACCAAAGTGGTTTTATGTGTCTCCATCTAATACCAGTTGGGTCATATTTGCCACATACCAAGAATAGAAACAAAATAATTTTGTTGTCATCTAGAGGCTGAAAATAAGGCCAATTATTCTTTATTCCTAATTAAAATGCCATGTAAACTATTCAGTGTGCTATATTCAAATGAACAATCTAAATATTGTCTATGCTGTTTTATCTAGTTCTAAACAAATGCAGGGAGCAAGGTAATAAATCAAAATAGAAATAATAATACTCAGAGATAATATTCATGTTATAATTTTCCCACATGCTGGTATAATTATTTTTTCATTTAACAAAGTTTCTACAACTTGAATGTAAGATTTTTTAAATACCTTTTTAAGATCATTATTACCTAAATATAAAACCTGCCTGAAAAAGAAAACAAAACTAATGCCAGTCAGAAAAGCACCTATTTAGAAATACAATAATTCATTTTCCCCAATAATTAGACCTAAATTTAATTGAACTAAGTTAAGTATGTGTTTTTTGGCTCTGTAGTCACTCCTTTACTTCTGCAAATGTTATCTCAGTTCAACAGCTTCATACTTCTTTTTCAGTATACAGAAAACTACTGGACATGTATGGACAACAGTATTTGGCTAACTACAGTATTTTCCGGACCATGAGTGTTGGCTGCTGTTAGATTTCTTATCCAGAATGGCGAAACAGACAAGGAAAGAAGGCTGCCAGTGTTTTTAAGCAAAATAAGTTAATTAATAAAGATAATACGTAAAGAAAAGAAAGAATGTATGGCGTCATTATACTGCTAAAAGTCCACACACGCAATAAAAACTCCGTACTCCAATTTACTTCATACAGGAATTATTATACTACTCCTCACATGCATGTTTCACATGTTATATGCACAAATAGAATCCCATGGGCCCCAATATATCATACACATGAGTGCCTGTCCCTTCTATGCTCCCACGTGTTTTGATTTCCATGCATGCAGCCTCCTAACATGTTAAGCATGAGGAGTAGTTTATGAGGGTGTGCATGAATGAAACTTGTTTGTAGGAGTATTTAATGCATGTGTGTACTTTTGGCAGTATAATGACACCATAGAAGTGAATGTAGAAAATTAAGATACGGCTAAATGTAAACTTTTGAATCACAAATCTGTTCGTTAAATTGCCAAATTTCTCCTCTTGATGGTTTCGTGAGTAATTATTGTTCATTGATGAGTTTTGTGTATTTGTTTTGTTTAATATTAATACGTTTCTAAAATAAGTTTCTATTTTTGTTTTAAATTTTGTATTATATTTTAAATAAATCTGTTTGTCAAAAACCAAGTTTGGACACTCATTGCAAACTAGCTTAGGATATAATGGTCTTTATTAGTAAATAAATAGATACATTCAATTTAATTTTCTATTTTTAACAAATATTATAGATTTGATTCTGTGTTATTTAGTTCTTTAATTTTCTTAACTTTAATATTTTGTTAAAAAGGTATAACATCATATTATATATTTTTTCCTCTCTTAGGGTTATCATTCTGGGACGTTGTCATATTGCTCCATGACTAATTCAAGCAGCAACCAGTTTCTCTTCTTCGCATTTGTAGATGCATCTGAATATTAATGTAAGAAATGCAACATTGTTGCCCGCTGTTTGGGTGCGCAGTAATAGAACAAAGATGGGACATAGTTTAGCTTATTAGGTTATGGGGCATACTAAATAAGTATGTTTTTTTTCACTTCTAGTGAACAATAAACTGCACAGGGAGATTTTTCCACACCAAGGACATCAAACTAACAGACATCTGAAACACACACTGCAACATTAATGTTATAGTTTTGAAAATTTTAAGACAAATCAGATTCAGGAGAAAATAAACAGAAAAGAAGGTATCAAAAGCAAAGCCCTAGTGTGTATAAATCTGTCTTCTATCACTTCACACAACTGAAACTGAAACAGAAAGTTACAACATTGTTTACTGAGAGTTAAACTGGTTCATCTGTGCTATAATTTACAGAAGTGCTTCCCTCCTTGACAGCATCTGTTCCCTTTGAGTACAGAACCAGAAGTCTGTACCGTGCCAGCGTTGTTATTACAGAAAGATCGTCTCTCAGCTGTTTCCCCTAAGTGTCCTGAGTATAACAAAATGGTCTTGAGGAAAATCCACTTGTGACTTTTTTTTTCTTTAATTATCATTTAATAGGAAATATCAAGTCATCACCAGCCAACAGTCTTCAGAGTCACCGTTGAATCTTTGCGGAAAACCGCAAGGAAACAGGACACAGTATTGCTTTAACAGCTCTGGCTTGAAAGAGTCTTTTACACCCAAAAAGAAAAGGGCGGCCATCTTGAAGGACAGAAAGGCGGCGTCACAGGTTTAGGGAACAACAGGTCTCCGTGTTGTTGTCAGGTCCCTGTGACTCGTGAAGCTTCATACTTGGGTGGATTTGACTCGCCGCAGCGGTTTTCGTCCTTCAGGGTGGGCAGGGCAGGGTGGGGGGATTTCACGGGGCAGGTCTAGACTGAGCTGGTGAGGCAGCGTCTTGAGGGGGGGAGCAGATCGGGTGGGGCGGAGGGCGGGGTTGGCTGATGGTCATGTGATCTCAGAATATGGTAACCCCGGAGCCTAAAAGGGGGGGAAAGAAAACATTAAATCAAATGTTTATTTATTTATTATTATTTTTAATATATATGTTAAAAAAATATATCAAATGTTTAAACTAATAAAATATTTGGTATATTGCAGAGTCAAGATTGGACTGAAACATGTAAATATTTCGGGCAGAATCCAATTCAGAGAGGAAGTGGGGTCTTTCTAAAGAGTCTCTTTCTTCTCCTCTGCCCTTACCTGGAAGCCACTTAACTTTTCGAGTGGACTCTCCACGCGGGGCAGGCTGAGGAGAGGCAGGCTGATGAGGGGCTCCGGATGCTGTGGAGGGGGGGGAGGGGTCGGCACTGCTAGCTTAGTTGGTTTGAAATTGTTGATCACACATGAGACCTGATGGAGAGGAGACAAACGAGGAGAAAAAGAAAAAAAATGATTTTTCCTTTTTTTCAGAAACGCTTTCTAATAAATGGAGGAAGATATAAAAGAAGGTCCTCGCCCTTTTCTCTGGCTCTAATCGTTACACCAAGCTTACACCTTTGAAAGCTTGTAAACAGAGAAGAAACCATCAATAAATCAGACCTTGGAAAGGAAAAGAGCAACTCTTTTCAATCTCAGGATGAGGACCTTTGCTTTGATGCGCTTTAAGGAAAAAAAAATCAAATAGAGGTCAGGAATATACCAGTGGCAGCTGCTTCTCTCTGAAACAGGGGAGGCTCAATGGTGATAATTCAATCCAAGTGTCACATATTGCATGAACACATTTTTAAACACATAAAAAACTATAATGGGTGAAAAAAGCTGCTGTGAAGCACTCTGAAATAACAAACTCCAGAAACCATGGCAAGAGTAAAGATCAAGATGTCTGTTGATCACTTTTCCTTCTCCACTCATGAGGAAAACCTCCTAGCTGTCAGGCCACTATCAGTCCAAACTTCTTAAGTATGTTGGCCAATCAGCATCGAGCAGCCAGCTTCTGCTCTACCCTAATAAATATGTAGGGCACTATATAGTGGTAACGCTATTTTAAATGAGTGTCCGAACATCTAGTGGATGAAAAGTTTTGGACTGGAAGTTTCCAACATTGCACCTTCAAAAGTAGTGATCATCCATGGTCACTAGACGAGCAGATATATCCCGGAATGCTTTGCGTTGAGAGCTCTCCTCACAAAGCATTATGGGATTTCCTGTCAGCGGCCTACTGTCGCCAGGGGCTGTCGCTACCCGACAGCAGCGACTAATAACAAAGACACCGCAGGCACCGTGCGGTGGGAGCGGAGTTGCGTGACCAACAGGGAGTGAAAAGTAGTGATCATCTGTCCGAACGGTAAGTTAACTGAGTTCAATAGAAACTCCACAATATAGTCCCTGCACTATACAGTGATGGAGGGATTTAGGGGTTAGGGTGGATGTTCGGACACAGGCCCGCCTCCGAAATTTACAGGAGAGGTTTAGCCTCCCTACACTGCAAAAACGATCTAGAAATAAGTAAAAATGTCTTAAATCAAGTGTATTTACCCTTGAATTTGAGCAGGTAAATAAGATGATTTTGCAATGGAATGAGTATTTTTACTCCTAAAATAAAATAATTAGATAATATGCACTTGAAATGAGACAAATGGCTTTTTCTTATTTTAAATCTAAATTGTCATTGGCAAAGTATCTCCCTCTCTCCCTCAATTCAAGAATAAATGTACTTATTTTAAGAAAAAATGACTTACCGGTAGTAAGATTTATATTTTTTGCAGTGTAGTATTCAATGATAAATCGAGACTGGTATACATGCACATATAAGCATTCTGTTATGTTGTCTTCTTTTTTATTCAAAACTAATATCTACTATTGTTGGTTTTATTCCTTAAAAGAAGGAATTGATCCAAACTGTAATTAGCACGTGGGATCAAAGATAAATGGAAATCTGTAACCACCAAAAGTTATAGGATCTCCTTTAACATTGTTCCAAGTTCCTATTAGAAAGGTAAACTAAAAGAAAACATGCTTCAAAAACTAAAGAGACAAACTGGAAAATCAGTGAATAGAACAAGAGAAATATGACTTTGATTGTATTTGAGCTTATAACATCTACAGACTTGATTACTTTCCAGTATCAAATACATGTTTAAAAAATCTAAATGGACACAAAAAGAAGAAAATATGCCATTCTAATTTCTGGGCCATGTTTTAATATGTAACTTTGGTTCCTTTAGGTCGTGAGAGAGACTGAGAGGAGTTACGTCTGTATTCTAGTGATGTTTTGTTTTATCCCTGTAAGCTTCCAGCCTGTTTGTTGCAGACCATGCTTTGTTTTGAGATTGTTCACAGCCTTTAAAAGAAGGTCTACATTCTCTAGGGAAAGCAAAGACTGCTGATTCAGTGATGCCAGCCCACTAACCCACTGATCATTGAAATAAGATGCTCTCTGTTAACATTTATTCCTCTGCTTCTAAGGTCTCCAAATAATATTTAACTAATTAGAGGAAATTTTCTGTTCAAACAGGGTTAGCTTTATTATTAGATCTAGAAACCTACTATTGCAGAACCTGTACAGAGTTTAGTTCCAACTATTTTTATTTTCAGCTACAACACATAAACAGCAACTAATCACTTGGCTAAGAGAAAACTAGGCAGGGTTTTCCCCTTTCTGCACCTGGATTGTTCACTTCTGGCAGAAATATTATGGGACATTTAGCTCATAATACTTTTTTTTACTTGTAAATGAGCATTTTAACATTAGCAATACATTCTTCAGCTGAATACTATAAAAAGTTGTAATAAAATGCATTCATATTTTTTTGTGCAAAAATAACTGGTTCCTTTTAAGTCTTGCTTGTTTTAAAATAGAGAGATCAGGATATTATTCATTAAAATGATCGGTAAGAAACACTGCTTGGAAGAAAATAACCTGTTAGCTTCTGCTAACCAAAGCACCCAGATTACTGATTCACTAAAACAACAGTTTGCTGTTTCACAGCATGAAACTCCATCATGCTACTGAGGAAAAGGTTTTTTTTTTTCCCAAATTCAAAAATAAATTAAAGTATTTGTGAAAATTCACCACAGTGACTGTATGATCCTCAGAGAAACTACAGAACCTCAGTAGCACCATTTAAATCTCTATAGGCCTTATTTAGTAATGTATCGCCAACGTTCATAATGAACCAGAAAGAAGATTCATAACAAATATGCTGCCTGTGAAAAGGTTGTCAGCAGTAAGTAAGGTCGGTGATTAAGCAGACACAGCATATCAGCACCTCATCCTGATTGTTAAGCATGGTGGTGAGAGTGTAATGGTTTGGGCTGGTGTAAAGAATAAGCTGTAGTAGATTTCTAGAAAGCAAGGATACAAGTAATGTTTAAGAGTGAGACAGTTTTAAACAATGACTTGTCAGACTAATAAGACTAATCCTTAAGTTATTGTTGCTTTTGTAAAGATATCAAATCAGGGGACAAAACTCACCTAGAGAACAACAACTGTATGGAATCTTTTGTGTTCTTCTGGTTCAACTTGCACATTTTCTAAGCCAAAATAAGTCTTTGTTTTGGTCCAGTCTATAAAGCCTCGAACTCAATGCTATTTCTGATATTTTGAATTGAAATCGAAAGGTCTTCAAACTTGGAAAATAAGTCCAAAGGATTGTATTTTTGTTTGTTTGTTTTTTTTTTAAAACTGTTTTGAAATCTGTAGTATGTTCTGGCACACTAAAACCTTGATTTGAGTGTTTTTTCATTTTCACAAGGCTGCACAGCAGGCGTCTTAATCTCACAGTTTAGCTGAATGCTCCTGCTAAATTCAGAGGAAGTCCCACACACCAAATGAGGGTAACTTTTGTGATTGGCGGCTGACACTGTCAATCTACCTGCCATGTTGGTAGTCATAAAGACTAAATACAACACAGAATAAGTGTTAAGCTGTTGACAGAAACAAGCGCCAGTCTTTTCTTGGATGCTTTACACAAAATGTGACAAAGATGGCTGGTGTTTAACTGTTACAATAGTTTATTTATATGGGTTAATAACCCGTTTCAGTGTGCAGGGACTCCTTTTTTGTGCTGTCTTTGGATGCACCATAAACATATGCCTGCTGACACTGAAGCTCATCAGAGACCTGATATCTTACATTCAGACGTCTGAATGTGAGCATCTGATTGTTTAGCAAACCAGCAGCAAGAAGCAAAAAACTTTTTTTTCAAACAAACTGTGTACGTTGTGCAACTTTGTCTGCAAAATTACACTTGTTAATTAAAAGATAAGGTAAAATATGCCAATACATCTATATTTTAAGCTATTTAATAACAATTCCAAAGATTGCTAATTCTCAATTACTTGCTAGTTATTTTTGAATAAGCCCAGTATCCATTTCCGGGCATAAGTCTTTTGGTTACAATAGGGAAACAAAAAGAGCCTAAGTGAGATTAAGTTAGTCAATAACACAAAAGTACTTTAATGTGTATTCTGTACAAGTTTAAGAACCATTTATTAACATTTTCTGAGTTATTCACCTTTATTTTAGGCTTAGTAAAATTTTAGCTGTTAAAAAGATCCAATTGTAACAGTGGGTGGTGGCCAAAAAAGTTAACTGCAGGTCCTGTTCACACATTACCCCTCCCACCCCTGTTTCTTTCTGCTCCATTTCTCTTTGCTTCCCCTCACCAGGAATGCTGCGATGGCCCCTCCAGTAACAAAACCGGCCAGAACGTCGCTCCAGTGGTTCCTGTGCTCTGTCACTCTGACCACCCCGACCAGCACAGCCAAAGACAGCAGCACCAGGCATAAAGTGGGCTTCATCAGACGGGTTCCTTTGGTCCGGAACACCAATGTCACGTACATCTGTGAGAGGATCACAAGCAGGAAAACATAAATGAGGATGAAAACATTTGTTTAGATATTTAAAGCAAAGGAATGACAGCAGTTTGAGTTAGCAAGCTGAGGTGATGCAGACTGAGCAGCAGCCTTACTGCCTCAGCAAGATGTACAGCTTGATGATGCCACAAGAGGGCGCAATTGGTAGTAACTTTAGAGCAGCTAAATGGTTTATCATAAACAGAAAGGAAAAAGGAAAAAAAAAAAAAAACACCCCTAGTTCATCTGCTTCGATGCAATGTAAGGATTATATTAGACTTAAAATGACTCGAGTATATATATATATATATATATATATATATATATATATATATATATATATATATATATATATATATATATATATATATATATATACACACACACACACACACATGATTTTTTTAATGTTATCTCTGATGTTTGAGGATTTATCTAAGACTGGAAGGCCTGCAGTGATAACACTAATTGTCCATTAAAAAAAGTACAGTTACTTATGTTAAGATCGGATTACAGTCTATTAATAAAAGCTTTATACACTGTACCCTATTGAATTTAGTTAATTTCAGTTAAATAATCCTTAATCAATACCAAATTGGGAAATACAGCCTGGTTCCACTCGGCATAAGCTCTGGGCTATTTTTTTGAATAACCAAAGGTTTCACAAGAGAAAAGATTCATTCTATCAAAAAAACTAAATTAATTAACAGTAGCGCCCAAATGGCATCAGAATCCAATATGATTATTTGAAAAATGAAAGAGATAATGAAGAGCAATTTCTGATTTGTTTCCAATTCAAATTAGCTTCTACGTATTGCTATATTATGTGCATATCATACACATGCAGCTGGTTATTGCTTTCAAAGGGTCAGTAGGATTTAAAGAAGTCCTACTGAGGATTATGGAAGAGAGAAAACTTCTTCCTCTGCAGAGACAGCCTTAGTTGCTTGCACAGAGTCAAGCTGGATGGATTTATCCATCATCAAGAGTTTATGAACCATTTTTCAAACAGTTTCTACAAAGAGGAGGTAATGATGGACCCAGGGACTGCCACAGGCCCGAGTCCAAGGCTGAATATGACACGCTGTGATTAAGACCTATGGAGCTCAAGATATGCAGGGTTTTTTTGGTCTGTTTTCCAGGACCTTGCACCATTGCTTCTTTAAGTAAATTTCCATCTTTTTTAGACATTTTTTATCTGTAACCTCTGACTAACAGCAGAATGATAGAGCCCCAATTATCCAGAATAAAAACTCTGCACAGCTTAACTGGGAAAGTGGTTTCCTAAAATGACTCCTGCTTTTACTTCTTGGTGTTTATTTAAACACTGCTTCATGTTTCAGGCCAGGAATACTGGCAAAACCTCTGCTGTTATACAATGCAAAAAATTAAATATAAGTCATTTTTTCTTGAAATAAGAGTATTTTCCTTAATAAACATTTTTATGTAGATTTAAAATAGGCTAAACACAACTCTGTTATTTTATTTTAATGTAGAAATATCTTTTATCCTATTTTGACAGATAATCTCATTACCTGCTTGAATTAAAGAAAAAATAAACCTGTTTTAAGAAAATTTAAACTCATCTTTAAACTAGTTTTTGCAGTGTAGAGGTGTCCAGCCTTAATGATGATGATTGAAACTTCATCCCTAAAGCAGCGGTCGTTGTCTCAGGGTAACACACAATGAAAACAATAAAAATCAAACAGTAAAAGTCTCAAAAACCCGCCCACATACATCACTCTGTAAAATAAATCAGTTGACATTTATTTAGGACGCAGAGCTCTAGACTACATGTAAGCTCAAAAGTCTGACGGTCTGTGATGTTACAGAGCTTCTCAGCATATGGGGGCTGCAGCGCTCCGGCTGTGGCCTGTCTACAATACTGCACAGGGGTGAGAGGAATCTCCAATAATGGCTCTGACCTTCAAAATCATTCGGTCTCCCAGCCTCTGCAGCCGGGTCCAAGTAACTGACTCAGCCTCCGTTCTTGATCGATTCTCTTTGGGAACTTCCTCTTTATTCTAGCACCGAGGGTGAAGAGAGAGCAGCTGGCTGCCACTGGCATTGTTAGCGAGGGAGGTTCTCTCACCGTTTCCAGTTTGAATCTGATTAGCTTCTGTTAAATAATGATTCACAGCAGTTTAAAGGATGGACTTTTCAAATTTTCTGATGTAAGCCAAATAAGGCTGAGTTATATCTCTTTTTTACTTTAGCTTTGTTAGGATCTGCCATTTTGGGATTTTTGGTTCTGCTTAGTTTTCACTTTGGGTATTCAGTTAGGTTTGAATTTATGTTATTCTGTTTTTACTGTTAATATATATTTTTTATTACTTCTTAGTCTTACCATTCCTGTTTGGTTCCTATTCAGCAGTCCTTAGTCTTTGCTCTAGTTTTATTTTTGTCAATCATTGTTTACAGTTATCTTTAGGTTATATTTCCCAGTTACTCTCCATTTCCTCCTAGTATCACCTTCCTTCCCATTGGTTTTCTCTCTCTGCACACTTGTCCTCACTCAGATCATTGCTCCAGTCTTTGTGCTGTTAGTCTCCTCCTCAGTGTATATATACCCTCCTCTTCAGTTTGTCTATGCTGGATTGTCGTCATTATGCAATGTATTCATCAGTTCCTGTCACTCACCTCCTTTTAACTCTGTTCTGGATTCCATGTCCCTTGGATGTTTAATTTTGGACTTACACTTTGTCTGCAATAAACCTACTGTATAAGAAATCATCTCTCCCTCAGCCTCTGCATTTTGAGTCCAGCTACAAACTTGCCCATTTACTGACCAGCTTTACCACTCAAACAAATGTGAAAATGTCTGGTAATATTCTAAAATTGTTATTGCAGTAATATTTAGTTTAAAATAAGGAAATCACTAAGTATTTGAAGTACTGAGTTGTTTTTAATGTTTGAGCACTTGCTATACTGTATATCCTAAGAAGCCTAAGAATGACACGTCACATATGAAGCACATACATAAATATATATTTACTGATTTTCAATCTACTGAGAGGAATCTCATTGATGACATTTTCAAAACTGGATAAGCGAGTGAGCTCTGTTGTAAAATCAAGATTTTTTTTTCATCTGTCCCTTCTTGGTAAGACTAAATACTGTGAGAAATTATCCATGCCTTCTCTACTAGATTACTTAGATAATTAGAAATTCTAAAACAAAAACATGGATAGATCTTCTTTACGGCAACTTCCAAATGATTCAAAACGCTGAAGTGAATAAGTGGAACCTGGAAATGCGTGCATATGATCCTATTTCTGGCTTCTATGTATTGTCTGCCTGAATCTTGGTTTTAAAATTCTTCCATTGGACTTCAGTGGTATAAATGGCCTGGTTCTGGCCTATCTTCAAGATCATCTGAACCATCAATCAGTTTCCAGAACACTAAAAATCAAATAAACTCTTCTTACATGTTCTCAAAGCCAGACTTAAAAGCAGGAGGGAGGGGGCATTCGTTGTCATGGCTACTGGAAAAACTTGCCCTTTAACATTAGATCTGCTTATCATGTGGAACTCTTTAAATCCTTAAAATTCATTTTTTTCTTTTGGCATTCATGTAAGGCCTGAGATTGTAATTTATGTGTTTTATTTGTTTTATTTTTTTAATGTTTATTTTATTGTGTTTATTCCATAGGTGCATGACGACTCTTTTACAGCCCCTTGGTGGATTTACAAGATGTTTTTAAAGCTTAAAATAAATTGACATTGATTATGTGAAGAACTGATTATCGTTACTGATCTTTCATTTAGCTGCATGAATTTTGTTTTGGAAACTCAGAAAATCTACGAAATCTTATCTGAAGATTTTCAGCTAAAAAATATTTTGACCTCTGGAACATTCTAACAATTCTAAGATTACAAAATATATAATGCAAAGTAAGCTTTGAGTTCAACTTAACGCTGGACTCATTTTCTGCAGCTTTGCATTATTTATGCCTGTTTTGTTATGAGCCAACTTTTGCAGCTGGTGCATGTAGGGTTGTATCCCTAAAAGCCTGAGCTCTTCTAACTGGCAGACTTATGGAGGCTGAGATGCGACGCCCAGTGAGCTGCTGGCAGCCTCTGAAAGCAAACTATAAACCCACTGGCAAAAAGTATGTCGAAGGATTCTCATTAAAAATGGTCAAAACACCGAGAAAAGCAAAAAAAGCAAAATACATGCAGATATTATTTCAATTGGAATATTTTAATGAGAATATTTACATTTTTTTTTTAGAAAATGTTTCTTGTATTATAAATATAGCAGGTATTTCTGTAATTTACAGACAACCAATTATCAAAAAGCCAAATTTGACCAAATGTGATCATCTACCCTTCAGGCCTTTGTAACCTGCTGAAAGAGGAATTAACTATTTAGAAAACTTTAAAATAAATAAAGAAAAGATACTCGAGTTATGCCCAGCACGCAATCAGATCAATAGATATTATTTCTACAACTGTAAATCATATATAAGCTGTGATTATCTCATTGTTTCTCCAATCCCATCACATCCAGGCCTGATTAAAGATAGATCTGTAGAATCTAGAAATGACTTCTATGCAGCCTGTCTGACTGCATAAAGTAAGTGAAAAGATCTCAAAAAGAAAGACATGATGCCTCAAGACAAACTGAAGCCATGAAGAGCCATCTCTAAGGGTCTGGGGCTTCAGCAGTGAGAGCCATTATCCACAGACAGAGAAGATATGGAACAGTGCAAAACCTTTTCATAAGTGACTGATCTAAAAAAAAAAAAACAACAACACATCTTACAGATGTAATGAGACAAAACAATATCAAGGCAGTCAAACACGGCGGTGAAAGTATGATGCTCTGGGCATCATCTGACAGCGGATGTCTGAAAAGCAACACGTCATGTTAAAGAAAACATTAGAAAACCAAGGCATTGTCATCTATCGGTAACAATGATAAGGCATGAAGACGCCAGCGAACCACAGTTAGAGCTGCAGAAAGCATCCAACTGTTGGGAGCT